TATCACAAACCTTTTTTTTTTCTAATTACTTATAACTGACTTGTCATGTCAGTGATGTTTATTAAATGGGTAAACATCAACTTGATAAGTCAATTATACGGAATTATAAAACAAAGGTTTACAATAACAATACCCCTGAAATGCTTTGGGATTTTGTTAATAGATAAAGTGAATGGGTTTAAAGGATATTTAGGAACTTCAGCAACATTAAAATTCTCGTATTTTTTGCACTTTTTCGAACATTAACTCGCTTATATCTAGAAAACTGGAGTTACTAGCGGAAAATGAAAGACATATTTTAAATCAGTTGTTGCTTCTACGGCACCATTTTTTTTTCATTTTGTTGTATGTCCTTATTGAATTTACCGAAAAATACTGGCCGTTTCAATATCAACAATTTTCGACAGGGACTGCATCCTTGTACGACAAATCGCAAAGTCCAACACCTATTTGTTACAAATTTTTTTCTAAGGACACATATCCAAAAGGAAAAATGGTATCTAAATGGCTCAAATTGGCAAGATGTGATAAATAATAATGAACATTATATTATTCAATGATGTTTATCCAAGATATGAAAAAGAATATTTTTTCAACCTAAAAACGGACAGAAGTTTCCGGTACACCATCTATTTTTTATTATTCGATCACCATGCACATAGAGAAAAAGATAACAGAAATTGCACATTTAGTACCATAAATTGCACTGATGAGCCTTCAAAAGGACTGAACAACATCTATAAGGTGGCACATTTTGTCATAGAATTATTACAAAACCCTACCTTTTCTACATAGTAAAACTTACAAAATCGTCCGGTGTGTATCGGTGAAAATAAGCCAAGCTTGACAGGTACTGTATAGCCTAACTTTACTTTTTCAAGTGGATATTAAAACGTGTAGAATATTAAACGTGAATACTACTGGTTGCACACGTGAAACATACTGTGCATTATCATCGACAGACAGAGAAAAATTGAAAAGAAAGGTGCTCTTTTGTTGAACTGTGCTGTGAGAAGTACCACTTATGTTTAAGACAAATACCGCTAGTTTCCCAAAACCATTGTTGTTTTCCTTGTCTTAATTTTAGGTTGAATTTTAAAGTAAATTACCATCAGAAGACAAGAGACAACACATAATATTGAAATTCTAATTATGCCACATTGTAAAGGAGAAAAAGAGGCAATGTTAACGTCGCACCTCCCTGTTTTTTCAACAGTCTGCCTGGAGGAGTATTCTTAATATTTTTAATCTACTAGTATCATGGTGTGCGTATAGATGATTGACACAATGTTACCACTTTCTTTTTTGGCAGTTTTTGTGGATTTTTTCTTCAGTTGTAACTTGTTAACAAGTAATGGTACAGCTCTAAAATTGTATGTGAATATTCCACTTTTATGGAAGAATTGAACGGGTGATTACTACCTTTCTCGGCATTTTCTCTCTTTAAAAAAATCAAAGATTTTTGAGAGGGAAAGTTATAAGAATAAAAATAATCACCTGCTCAATTGTACTATAAAAGTGTAATTTTGACATACAATTTCAGAGCTCTACCGATATTAAACAAGAGCACATCACTGGTTACTACGTGAGAGAAGATATCTTAAAATATAAGTACCGTTTGCTTTTTTAATGGTGCTTCATTGTATAAAGTTTTAAGATATAAATCTCTACAATCTGTACAGTCTTTTAGACAAGAAATCCTCTGTTCACCACGTTTTTGTAAGAATCGATGATTATGATATTCCAGGTCATGTTACATCTAAATTTAAAAAATCTGTCACTTACACAACACCATGTTTGTTTAATACATATTTAGAACTTTTCCAAATTACTTCCAGTCATAACTTTAAAAAGAAATTTAAGGTGCTTCTGCAGTTACTAGTTTTTGGAAGCTGCAGATTATTAACTAGCTTTACTATTGTACTTTATTGACATTTGCACCTCAATTTTATAACATTGCTATACTCTATGTAAAACTAGAGATAAAATAAGTTGAAGCTCATGACTCTAAATAAAATAATTTTAACTTGCTGATTATCTTTGTAATTGCTGTGGGCGACTGAAAAATGGCAATGCCAATCCTTAGTCTTTTGGAGTGTGTTTTTTTAATATTTATCTTTGTTTTGTATAAATGCTACAATAAACATTATTATTATTTCTTGACGAAAAAAATAGACTTTGTTCTTAAGTCGTCTCTATACAAATCATGAAATAATCAGATGAAAATAAGGATTTAGAATACTGCTCCAAAGAAGCAGTTGAAAGAAGGGACCGTAGTGGGCAATTTATTTTGAATTCCCAACTCACATAGGCAGATAAAAATAAAACAGAATTTGGGAAGATTCCCTTTTTTTCAACTATCTCCGGGAAAACTGAATTGCAAATCTTTTTTAGTACCATTTTCTTAGTTACCTAAATGAGCAAGCCATTCACCGACTCATCTTTTAGCGTTTAAAAAATTCGAGTCGAATTTGAAACACCCGGTATAATTGAATTAACCATAGTAGCATTTCTCACATATCAACATCAAAATACTTGTGCAAAAGTGCCGATTATAAATAAAGAAAAAAATAATAAACAAATTAATATCCACCGACAACTAACTGTCACATGCAGAAAATGCATTTTAATAATAAAAAAGATACATTAATATAAATTCACACACTCTGCACACACTCTAGAATAAAAACGGTTAGTTCAAAAACTTACACACTTCACTTCATTTATATGGATAACTCCAAAATTTGTGTCATGATATTATATGAGAGGTATATATATTTTTTATATTTTTATAATGGATGATTTTGAACAGTGTAAATGCATCGCACTTGAAAATTAAATCAATTATTCTGAAGCAGTGCAATAATCCGAAAATGTTTCACTTTATTATTAAAGATAAAAAGAATACAGAAAATATTCCGCTTTTCTGTGATAGTTCTATAAATGGAGATACTTTATTTTTAAAAAATCCAGATCGGATTTCTAATAAAATAACATTATTTTTGGATACCTGCAAGGCAAAATGCATTTACACCTTTCCAAACGTGTGTTAGTATCATAATGAATAAAAAAATATTAACACTGAAAAGGTAACTTGGAAAATTAGTCGAAAAAAACATTAACAGACCATAATAATATATTACATAACCTGGTAGCAAACTGCATAGTTATTGGCCTTCTCCATGTATACCGGATGCGTTTTTAGTGTAAGCTGGATAGCTCCGTTATTACGCAAGGAATCTAACAAAGTTAAATACAAAAACTGTAGCCAACATCATAATGTTAGAAAATATTTTCACCACTACAGGGTGATTCGTTACTACGTGGCGATCCAAACATACCTTTTTCATTGGAAAACCCTACATTTTATAACAGATATTGATATAACATACCAAATAATTTTAATTTCAAATTGTTGAGATATCGGATCTATCAACAAAAAGACACTCGTACCTCCGCAACTGTTATAGCTAGAGACCAATTTATCGTCGGACAAATTTCATGATCCCATATTATTTGCCTATTTACTTAGTTTCTATTCAGTTTTTGGATGGTTTATACAGAGTGGTCAAGAACGCAAAATGAATTATTTCTCAAAATGTTCAAATAGAACAGCCCTGATTCAAATTTTTCACATTCTTTGATTATCATCGTCACAAGCTTTTTTTTATAAGATCTATGGGAGTTTGTACCACTGACTTTTGAGTTACTGCAAACATATGGACATCTTGATTTCCATTTTTTTATATAAATTTGGGTAGAATTAATTTATAATGAAAATAAAGGTCAGTTGTAACTTAAGAACCAGTCGTACAAACCTCCATAAACCTTGAATACAAAGTTCTTGAAAAGGGGAATCAGACATTGTGAAAATATACAGGGCGTTCCATTTGAAAACGTTAAGAAATCGTTTATTTTGCGTTCTTGACCATCCTGTATACACGATTTATACATAAATTATTCAAATAACTGAAAAAAGTAAGTAGATAGAGAAAACATGAAATCATAAAATGTGTCTGAAGAAAAATTTAGGACTCTTTTTAACAGTTGCAGAGAAGCGAGTTGAGTTTTTTTTTGATAGTTTGTCCAACATCTCAACGATTTGAGAATAAAACTGCAGTTCAAATTGTTTCGTTTGAAAGGGTCTATCCAAATCTGTAATAAAATGTAAGGCTCTCCATTCATAAAAATGTATGTTTGGAGAACAGAGTAGTGATAAATTACCCTGTATAGATTAATATATTTTTTAATTCTATAGTTTTTGTATTTAACTTGTTTATATACCACGCGTTATAACGAAGTTACCGACCAACACTAAAAACTAACCATAATATAATTTTTTACAAGTAACTGAATCTGAGAGATACTAGCGCCACCTATGAGACATTAGCAGAACACAAAAGTGAATGTAGAAATTCAATTTGAAAAGAGTGTTTTCGTTTTGATACTGCCTCATAGATGACGATAGGATCTTGAACTCCTTTTTGGCGCCTCTCTAATGCCTTTATGCAATGTACGAGGGACAATTTTTAAGTAAGAGCCGCCTTGGAATGGAGTCAATATCAATGTCCGGTTCAGAGGCCTTATTTTCCAACCACGTCACCATGTCACCATGGACCTTGAGTCCATGCCAGTATCACCTTACAAAAGAAATTTTAGAAAACTTCATTTAGGACCACAGTTATTTGGGTTTTTCTATGTTCCTTCTTATATGAAGATTAGTTTGATATTGAAGGTTTGTTTCTGGTCTCTTTATTATCAAGTTACTTTGTTGCAATATTGTAACGTTTTACATATATTTCTGTATATGTTGAAATTTCTTGTTTATCTGTTGTTATACTGTCCTTAAATAACTAAATTTGTGTTGCCTGTTTTGTGGTATCCCTGGGCCAGTACTTTCATCAGTCTCAGGCTGCTTACTGGTCCATTTTGCAGCGAATTGTATTTATTATTTTATCGAAATTTTTTTGCTCAATGTACATTTATTTGTAACTGCACATCACCGCTATTATTATTATTAAAATTAATTTTTTTTGTGTTTAAATATCGAATTACTGAGCGCACTTCATAACTGGCGGGTTTAGTGAGTGACATGGCGAAAAACAAAGCAGTATAACTACACGTCTGGCCACGAGCGTCTGAGATTGAACGGACGTCTCGTGGCAGGGTTCACGGGCACGATGCGCAACCGTTCTTATTTTAAAAATGGCTCTCGTACTATTATTATTGTAACATTATTCACCTGGGGAGAGAAAAGTTATTTTGCATTGCAATGCGTCCAATAGTTGACTGATTTCTTTGGTATTCATATGCTACTGGCTTCTTTTTTTATTGGTGACCTTACAGAACACAAAACTGGTATATTTTTCACAAATTCCAAGTGCGCAGTTCAGTGCTTTAGCTGTCTAGGTGATAGAGCATAGTTTACTTAACGAGGACTACATTTTTCATTTTCATCCTTCCAAAACTGCAAATACAGCTTAATTCGTTCATGAAACACACAAGCTTAGAAGTGAAACTTCTTTTTAGAAAAATCACTTGTTTCTGAATCTACCCCCTTTCGTTCTGAATCATATTTCTCAAAGCACACCATAGCTCTACCACCTAGGCTGAAACCTTTCTATTTCTCCCTATTGGCACCAAACCAATGGTACCTCGTCACTGCATCCTTACCATACTGTTTCGTCCTCACTGGTATTGGAGGCGTGGTGGCTCCTTCTCCTCTCTGCGACCTAGCAGCTAACCATACGTAATACAGGGTGTTCGGATACAGCCCCGTCAAGGTGTACGACTCCGAAATTGGGATGCGCAGATGGTGCTTGTCTTTAGCGTACGTGTCGTTCCAATACAGTTCGTAACTGACTATGTTTTCGCCGGAGTGAGTTGGTTTGCTCCATTGTAAGGTGACTGTGCCCTCGCCAATGTCTGTCGCTCTCAGGTTGCTAGGCTGGCTAGGTACGCCTGGAAAGTCGGTTGTTATGGAATGAAAATGTGTTTTAAATTGGTTGAAACCAAAAACAGAATACAGAGATGATTTATTAATAGAGTAAAAAACCGTTCTCACTGAAAGACACTTTCATTGGAAAGCGGAAAGCTTTAATAGCCATTCTCAGGCATAAAAACTCAGTATTGTCATGTCTGCCTTTCTTACCCGAAGTGTAAGATTCTCCAAAGGCGGCGTACTCACCAAAACCTCTCGGTCGGCAATGCTTGCAGCATTTCTTCATAGTGGGTAGCGCAGCGCTAGGCTTGAATAGCAAATGTATTGTTCATCTACTCACCGGTGTAAAAGGGAAATCGCTGCAAATTATTTTCAGCCTCCTGAAATGGCGGTTAGGGGGCGTATATTCAATTTCAAAAATCCAAACGCCAGTATTTTGCAAAAATACGTATTTAACGCAGTGATTTAATAGCTCTATTATGATGGTTGCTCAATTGTCGAACTTCTTCCTAATGTCATTTTTCCATCTTTTGTTTCGTTTAGGATGGGGGAAGGGTTGAATTTCATTTGAGTGAATGTAATATAACTTCAGTTTGGCTACACCGATTTTCATGATCTTGGTAACATTCGAGAGAGCTTGCGCCAGCGCTCCTTCTCAAGACTCAATCTGGTTTAATTAACTCACTTTATTACCACTAGATGGCGTTTCATGGACGTGTCACTTTTTTTTAATTTCTTCGAAAACTTCAAATACAACGGCGGTATATTCTTTCAATATTGCTCGGAAAGAGCATAAAAAATCATATGAAATGGTGGAAACCACAGACACACATCTTTATTCGTTATGACGATATAATGAAAAATATCCTTTAATTACTACTTTCAAGTTCTACTGGATAAAAATAAAAATTCAAATATGAATAGAAAACATAAAATGTATCCATTTTTTCAATTACTAGGAAATCTATACACATTTAAATCGTCAATTTACGTGAGAAGTGGGTGTTATTTTGAAAATCAAGTATGTTTATTAAAAAATATTTATCTAAGGTCAACTCATCAGCTACTGCTCAGGTTGTAATTATACCAACCTGGGTATTGGGCTTTTTAAACAACCTTCTCACCACACAGAGCTTTCCGGAATCTTGGAAACGGGCCAAACTCTTACTGATACCGAAAGGAAAAGACAAATACAGACCCATTTGCTTGCTCTTGACAATTAGCAAGCTATATGAGTTATTGATACTTGCTAGGCTACAGAAGGAAATCGATTACAAGGGTGGCCTATCAGAGTTCCAGTATGGTTTCAGAAAAGGTAGAAATACGTTGATGGCAGTGGACGCAGTCCTTAAAACCATTAAGGGCAGCAGGGAAACATGGGGCGTTCTCATCACAGTCGACGTCAAAAACGCTTTCAACTCGCTACCGTGGCAAAACATAATGGAGGAGCTGAGAACAAGGAAAATACCACCATACCTCCGAAATCTCGTAGGTGCCTACCTCAGTGGAAGGTCACTCCAGATAGCCAAAGAAGAGACCTTAGACATAACATCCGGGGTACCGCAGGGCTCAGTCTTGGGCCCTACTCTATGGAATTTGGTTTACGATGGGGTACTGAGGAGTAAATGGCCACATGGTGTAAAAGCCGCTGCGTTCGCGGACGACTTGGCAGTGATAGTGCTAGCGCAGGATGAGGAGGCCCTTATGCATGCGGCAAATTTAGCCCTGAGGATAGTGGACAACTGGATGACGGCCCATCACCTCGAACTCGCACCGGAGAAGACAGAAGCTGTCATCATAAAGGGGAAGCGGAGAAAAGCAGGTATTACTTTTAACTGCAGAGGAACTTCCGTAACACCAAAGAAGTCTGTTAAGTACTTAGGAATTCACTTAGAAGAAGGAGGCCACTTTCGGGAGCATATTCGGGCAACGGCAGCAAAAGCAGACAAAAAAGCAGCATCGTTAGCAAGAATTATGCCAAACATCGGCGGACCTACCAGCAACAAGAGGGAGGTTATAAATAGCGTGGTGCTTTCAACATTACTTTATGGCGCCCCAATCTGGCACGACATTATGAGCACTACTAGATACAGGCAAATGTTCAACGGAGTGCAAAGGAAGATGCTGCTGAGGGTGGCGAGTGCTTACAAGACGGTCTCCACGAAGGCCTTACAGATTATTACAGGGATAGCACCGATCCACTTGCTTGTGGAAGAAAGAGTGAGACTGCACCGCCGGGAAGATGGGAGAACCGCGAGGGCCAGAAGGGAGGAGCGCGAGGTCACCATCAGTAAATGGCAGGACGAGTGGCACTTAACGGAGGACGTGGCTCAGTGGACAAAAAAAATAATACCTGACATCGGGAAGTGGATTGCTTGCAAGCACAGGCGACTGGACTACCACCTAACGCAGGCACTAACGCAGCATGGTACTTTTCGAGTATTCACGAAGAGAATACAGAAATCAGACAGCGATGAATGCATGTACTGTCAAGAAAAAGACACAGTTGCACACACTCTCTTCGAGTGCAACAGATGGGAGCGACAAAGGGCACAAGTCGTTGTTAGTCTAGGACACGCTCTGACGGAGAGTAATCTGACCAGCACCATGATGGCGAACAAACAATCGTGGATACAAATACAAAGATTCGTCAGGGAAATACTATCAATTAAAGACAAGGATGAAAGAAGAACGGACAGCCCAAACTCCTAGGACATATACATGGAAATTTTACTGCAGATACCGCTGAGGAAACGAAGACATGTGTGAGACACAGTCATGCTGGTAGTAAGCGCAGGCGAATCCCAGCATGAGGGTGGGGGAGGGGGTTTTAGCCCAGGTGGCATAACCTGAATGCGGATACTAGATATCCGGTCTCAGGTATCTCTTGGTGATTTCCCCCCAAGAAAAAAAAAAAAAAAAGGTTGTAATTATACAACATTGTAAAGGTGGATATGTTATCTTCACCAAATGTATTGTTCTGAATCTTTTTTAACATTTGATAAGGTTGTTCCTATCTGCTTGTTGCTATTACTAGGACATTGGGGAAAACCCGTGCAAAACGAACATGTCGGGCAGAGCGAATTTTGTTTGCTTACATCCTGATTAAATTATCGCGAAAAAGACAGATGAAAAGAGAATCTCATTTCAAATATTTTCATTAATTGTAAATTAACATTCCTGTAATAAAAGCAGTGTTTGTCAGGGGTGTAAGCAGCATTGTCATCACCGGCTTCAAAGCCTCTAGTCCTCTGTGTGAGGCTGAATGGGGAGTTAACCTATTGGATTATGAAAATTAGATAACAGAAAGAAAAACAGGTTATATGATGAAGAAAAACCTCAACAAATTGATGAGGCATGTATATATATATATATATATATATGTCACCTGATATTTGAAAAAAAACACTTGAATAATTCCTCATAATTTAACACAGTTGGCTTGGAAGATGAAGGATTCAGGAAATACTGGGCTTTTTACAAACTTGTCTCATTTAGATCTTTTAAGGGTGAAAATTGTGTTATACATATAATTGTAATATTATAGCGACTACTTCGTTCAAAAAAGCGTAACAATAAAATTTAGCATGTCAGAAACAAACGAATAACCTAAAATATTGAATTTTTGTTTTTATCCAGTAGTACATGAACATCGCAATTTACGCATATTGAGCAATACTAAAAAAGTATACCGCTGTAATTGAAATTTTTGGAAAAAATAACAAACTGACTCATCCATAAAACGCTATCTAGTGGCTACAAAGTGAACTAATTTGACAAGATCGGGCATTTTAGGAAGTTGAAAACAATTTCCAGCAATTTCACGTAGCCACAATTTTTTAACGGATGGCTCTAAGTTAAGCTGTTGCTGAGATATAGTCGATGCCCTTTATTTTTGGGTCATCCGGTACAACTGAGCAAGTAGGAACCTACTGTTGGTTCTTATTTTTGTCCTCCTGCACCTTGTTGCGTGGCAAAATCGTCAGCAGTGAGTCTCTCGCCGAGCATCAATTATTAGATGATTAGGGATATCCTCCTCTTCATTGCAATATACACAGTTCACGTACTCTTTCATATCCTCCTCAGGTAGTATAATAATCTATCCGCACCACACGGCACCGCGTTGGTAAGGTTGTAGAGCCTAAAAGTTGGTTAGCAGCTGGTGCTGTAGACCAATTGGTTACGTTGACTCCACGGGATGGAAGAGACGCGGGTTCGAACCCCGCCCGGGATCTTTTTTCTATATCTCAAGCTGTTTACTAAACATACCCGCTGTTGGAGATGCGCTCATCCAAAAAATCGTATACAGGTTACTGTTCTCGCACGGTGGTACCGTGGTGTGTGTCCACGAGCTGGAATGGTACAGTTAGAAAGCAAGTGGAGACACCTTACAATCCTGTTGTTTCACTTGAACACCACCAGTTGGAGCACAAATGCAGCTGTTTTTGGACTGCCTAAGGTTAGTAGAACTGGGAAAAACCTTCTTTTGTAGAATGTTCCACAATGTCAACACCCTAGGGACAAAGAAGCGGTCGTATCGGCCAATTCTGGATGTACGAATTCCGACACGGTTAGGTTGGGAGGCGGAAGTCAGGTGAGTCTGTCAGGTGGGTCTGTCTGGCAGGCATATCGTACGGCGGCATCATGGACAAGAGCTCTGAGGAGCAAAGACAATTGGTATAGCGGTACAAGAGAGCATGATCGCCGATGGCCCGCCGGTGCGCAAGGGTCCCGAGACTCTTTTAGAGCATTTATAGTGTACTCAGATCGGCAGCACCCCAAACATGTGAGCAATACTCGAGGCTAGGTCTCATCTGGGCCTTGCGCAGAGTGAGGAAGTCATGTGGAGAAAAGTACTTCTCAGCCCTAAGGAAATAGCAGCTGACGAGATATGTGTTCGTGCAGGTCAAGTCCTTGGTAATCTGGACTCTTTGGAGAACTCGACCATCCATCCAAGCCAGATGAGCGCAAGGACGCTTTTTGTTCGTCAAGGTACAGTAGTGTTTTGGAAGCATTAAACTGTACAAGATTGTTGCGTCGCCAAGTAGTGATAACCTTCAGGTTTCTCGTCAGAGGAAGTCGCTGCTAGCCTTCTTTTTTCCAGCTCACCGGCAGAGATGGACTTGAAATGCAGGAGATGCGGGATGAAATACCGCCGGCATCCATCTCTCAAGTTGCGCTCATCCGAAAAATCGTATACCGCTCTCCTTAAGATATTTTTGCAATTACGTAATGGTCCCGCTGTAAGACCACTTGACTTGGCACTATCGGATATCCCTGATACTCGTATTTTCCCTGGTACCGTAACAACTAAAATATATAGACACAGTGCCTCGTGTGGGGTACCTCACACGAAGATCCTGTTTACTACGCTTATGAGACAGCAATTGCTTTTGTTGAAAATGCAACTCAAGTGGAAATTGTGAAGTCGAGTTTCTTTAGTGATAACAGTGCATTAAATAAAATGTTCCTTACCTTGTTGTGTTTTGACGTGTACAGGAGCACTGAGAGGACCTGGCCCGACAGATGTATGGGCTTGAACTCGTATTGTGTATATTGTATGTGGTGTCAGTTCACTAATTGTTGTCAATAAATTATTGTCAACCACCTGAGATTCCCATTGAGACATCGGCTGTTGGGCATTGGTTGTATAGTACACCTTGTAACCCTAAAATATATATAAAAAAATTCGTTAAAATTCCTGGCCAATGGGCACATCAAGAGTTAACCAATCATCGACTGCAAAAAATGAAAAATCATTGATTTTTCAAAATTGCTTGCAGGCGCAGAATGGGAATGAAAATTTTGATTAGCAAAGCCCTATATCTTGAAGCTAAAAGAACATTTAAAAAAATGGCAGCATATTTTTATATTTTGGATGGAGCGACCCATTTTCAACTTCATGGTCCTATTTGAAATCAGTACTTCAAATTATGGAGTCAGTCAGGTTTCAATCGCATTTACAAACTGCAGAGGAGCATGTATGTTTTACTTCTTTAAATTATGCAATATTTTGTTCTTTTCTCTGTCCATTCGAACTAGTAAATATACTCACAGTAACTTGTCCATTGGGAGTTTCTGGCTCATCCCACTGGATAACCATAGTGCTGGAACTGAGTGGCCTGACTTGTACATTTCTTGGAGCACTTCCAGGTTCTACGACAAAAAATAACAAAATAGTAAAAAATCATCACCAAAGCGCAAAACATCACAACAAATGATCAATGCAATGGCATTACACACAATCCACATAGCCTCCACAACGTGTAACTTTCTAAAAAAAAAATGCTGCTTTCTCTACAGAGAAAAGTACCTAAACAACTAAACTCAAAACATAGACAATGATTCTGACAGTGGTGCAAACAATCAATGGGTGTAAGTGCTTGAAACAAGACAAACATCAAGGCACGATAAATAACTTACTGGCTCCTTTTTTGTTGAGTCGGCTAAGAAAAACAAAAGTAATCAATTATACAGCAATATTAGTTAAAAGCTAAGAAATACATTGCACTAAATCCACCAGGAACTTTCCAAGATTTCTACGTATAAGGTGGCTAGAAGCAATACTTTGCACTGAGTCACCTATTTAGCATATATAGATTTTGAATACAAAACTAAATTTTCCTTGGTTAGGCCAGTAGTACTTCCTATTAGGAGTCATACTGCTACTATTACAAGTAATCTCATAAGAAAAAAGTAGAGGTACAGCTACAATAGGTAAAAACAGGAAAAGTCAACAATGACAGATTCCTCTTGTACGTGTCTTCTCAATTCCTACGTGTTGTTCCCACATTTTTATAAACGATTATTCATCCCACAAAATTCTCCTAGTTTTTACATCATATCATCATGAGCACGAAACTGAAATCATTCTTGAATCATTATTACCATAAAAATAGTACATACTATATTTCCTATCATGGCTTTAGTAGATTGTTATAACAACTTTGACCTGGGTTTATGAAAAGTTGCTAATCACGTAATGTATTCCTAGCTTTTAAGTATCATTCAAACTTTAATTACTCATTTTTAAGACCTGCAACTGTCTACAATTATATGCGGATAAGTGAATAAATACAAATGTGTATTTATTGATACTAACATCTGGCACGCATATGTGTGAATAGTGTATGACCCTTTGCTACATTAATATTAGAGTTTGTACATGGTGTTACAAATATTGTCAGAAAATTTAACTGCATCTTCAGCACGCAGGAAATTGAAAAATTATACTTTTTTTTTTGTACTGGCACAGCCAGGTAGGCAGAGGACTAAACTCGAGGACACGAAATTGCTATAAGAGCTTGTTCAGATTTGTTAATCTGATCAAAGCCTACTCAGGCAGATTGATCCACCATCTCTACACCTTAGGAACAAAGGAGCAGTCGTACGACCCAGTTCTGGATGTACCAGTCGAAATAAATGGCTTTTTAGGAGAACTCAACCATCCATCGAAAACAAATGAACCCTAGTTCGCTCCATGTTAGTCAAGGTAAAATACTGTGCTTTGGAATCAGTAACGGGACCAGATTGTTGCGTCCCCAAGCAGTGATAACATCCAGATCCACTCGTCAAAGAGGGAGTCAAAACTAGTTTTCTCTCAAACTCATCAGCAGAGATTGGCTTAGTTTTTAAGTAGAATCAAACTGGCCTTATGATATTGATACTATTTTTTTGTAAAAAACCAGTGATGTACTGTTTGACTTTCTATGTGAATTGGACACACAAAGACAGTGACTGACTAACAGGAATTTAAGAAGTAGATCAAACAATAATAATATGTGTTGTTTTTTTCAGAGGTATTTTCGTCAACTGATCAGGAAAAAGTTGATATTATTCAACATGTGAGAAAGCACTGCCACTGGCGAGGAAGTAGTGTAATCACCAAAATGAAATATTATATTATTTGTATATCACATGACATGTACGTAACGAAAAAAAATCTCATCCATTTCTGTCTGTCTGGCAGTCTAGTGAAAATAAATGAACATCGTAATAGCTCAGTGACTGTAGTCATTGAAAATACTTTGGCATTATCGGCTTTGCTACACCCAGTACAGCAATTACAGCTCTCTACCAATGATGAAATCAAGTTTATTAAGCACTACCAATTAAGTCTTAAAGACCAACCTCACGATTTAATTAATACTTCCTTCCTTTGTTAATTAAATTAAGCATGTGCATCTGTGTGTATTTTCATTATGATTTCATAAGAAACGCCTCCAAGATAAATCTATTCGATGACATTGCAAAGTTAAATATAATCTTGCAATAGCTGTTGCTATTTCCAATGTACACGTTTATTCTCTGTGGATGACTGCCAACAAATCATTATGTCCTCGATAATATATTTTCTTGCATCACTAGAAATGTAGTATAATGCCTTGAACATTTTCTAAATTGGCCCTACCACAATGGTCATCTTTTAGAAAACTTGCAAATTCGTTATACCTTTGAAGAAAACAATTTTACAGTAGAAAAATAGGAAAAGAAGAAGGAAGTTACGTTTTAGCAAAAACGTACATTAAAAATATTCTTAAATGTGTACATAATTTAGTAACTTCCCCATCAAAGACTTGGCTAACCAACTTAAAAATAGCTTCAAAAGAACGAATATTAAAATACTCTTTATTGTCTTGTAGGGTAAGGTTTTAACTTTAATTCAGATACTTGGCGACCTGAATAATTATAATTTATAACCGAGTTTTTGAACATTGAATGCACCCGTTTTTTAGGGTTTTTCAGACATTAAATCACTTATGAACTCAAAAACGCTCAACTTTAAAGATATTTTGGTGAAGCTCTTTTTTGCTCAAAATAATCAAAAAAAAAACCTGAAAAAAATTGTCACGCGAAAAAACATTTGGCTACCATTTGTTTCATGTTAATGAATATTAACTTACGTCGTTATGAAAGAAAATGGATGTTATATGACAGGTTAATCACGAAAAACCATGTCACTAATTTCGGTCGGTCTGCCTGTCCGTCTTTCCGCTAATTCTATAACCGCCTATAACTTGTCACGCTCAGATTTTGATGAAATTTTCACACAAAGTTACTACTATGCCAAGGATGAAGAGGCATTTAATTATTCCTTGCTCTGTTTTTATTATCCTGTACCTTGCTCAGCATTATCCGTCTGACTCTTGGTCGAATGTCAACCAAACTGCCCCTCGCTTACATGCATACAAGTTGTCAGCAGAAAGCTTTTCGCCAGCTTGCCCAGTTATAGTTATATGTTTTACTTCCTATACCAAAACTGGCGAAAAGTATTGTAATTGCGAAAAATTTCGAAATTGAGATTTTTTTATGTTATACGACAATCACATCACGAAAAAACACGTCATATAACTTGAAAATCACCGCTCAGAATTTGATGAAATTTTCACACAAGGTTACTACTACGCCAAGGATCAACAGCTTTGAAGTTTTTGAAAATCAGTCTAGTGGGCGGAGCTATGGGCAAAAAGGAGAAGACACTAAAAATCGCTTAAACTTTGTTTTTTAACAGGCTCGTTAAGAGGCTCCTGAACATTTTCGAAAAAATCTTTGTAGGGGTTGTTGAAATTTAGGGGTTTTGAGGTTGCAGGGGGTAGAGGGTGGTAAGTGTAGCGTCTATAGAATCAGTCAGACGTTCTATCATTAAGAAACTTCTGACCCCGGTAACAACCGGAAAATTAAATGACAAATGTCCAATGTATAATGTGCCCATAATTCGAAATAACTTGGCAATTGCTGGCGTTGCGTGCACAGCGCGATGCTGCATAGACGTGGAGGCCACTGCACTGTGCAATAGGTAACAAACTCCAACTGGTCTACAGGAGAAATAATTATAGATTTTAGCAATATTTGGATACTAGTAGAAAGTACCACTTTAGCTTCCTGTGATACTTTTGTAAATTATATCTTAACTGCTTTTATATATACACATACATTTTTCTGAATTTTGTGATCCTTAAGGCCCGTATCGTCAGTCGTCCCTACAATTGTAGGGCGCGTTTATGGCCTCCTTGACTGTCATACTCCTTGCCCTCCTTCAAAAATTTCTAGATTACACTTGTCCCGTGTCAGCGTCAGCACTCTCCTATTGTGAAGATATGCTTTCTTTTTAAATTGTAGGAAATTTCAGGCTGATAAAACATGAGCAAGCACAATTTGATGCAAATAGATGTTTGTGACAACCTCAAAATAGAGTTCTGACACGGAGAAGTAGAAAACTATGACAATCAAGAAGGCCATAAAGGCGCCCTACAATTATTGTAGGGACGACTGACGATACGGGCCTAAATGTACCACCCATTTCGCCTAACCCTTAATTTGTGTTACTCCGTCTATGACAGTTCTCTGAATATTTCGTTAAGTAGATTGACTTAGTACTTATGACGCATTGATATACAACAGACACGGACTAACAAGCCGACATAAATGAGAAACACGGATTTGTGTAATGGAGACATCCTTAAGCAACAGAAAACTTGTGAACCGAAAATCGAATATTATCGCAAGTTTAATATTTCCATCCTTTAGTTAGATAGATAGATGTTGAAAATTGTTTCATAGGTGGCGGAGATAAAATCGCTGGAACATCGTGTTACAGTGTTTCATAGATTTCTGCTCATATTCAGACACTGTTTGGAGGGGATGAAAATTGTAGTTTGGAAGCTGTATGCGGTAAATGGTTGTAAATCGTTGCTTATTTGGTGTCAGTGAAAGAGGCGTTATTAAGGAGTTGCTGATCTCAGTGATACTATGCACCTGTTAGACATAATACGTGTATGTCACACATATTTTCTTACATCTGTCATAGAAACAAAAATAAGGTAGATTTGCTTTATATAGTTGCATATGAAGATTTATCGTACATAAGTGAACCTACCGAATGACGATTCGATTTTGCCTTTTGAAACGATTTGACTCATTCCCTTTTCTCTGAAACCTCGAAGGCGTCGGAAGTTAGAGTAAATCTACTTGCCGTCGTTTTTTTAACGTTTTTAGATGATTCTGAACAACAAAAGGATTCCAGTAACTTTTCCCTAAAGTTGAACGTTTTCGAGTTATAATCGATTTAATGTCTGAAAACCGTAAAACTGGATATATTCAATACTTAAAAACTCAATTAAGAATTATAATTTTTATGCGCCAAGTATCTGAATTAA